CGGACAAGAGATGAACAGCAAGTGTAACGATAAGGTAACCTGTTTTGCATGGCCGATCTTGTGCCTAAAGAGGGTAATCAGCAATGACATCAAAAAGAGTTCTGTATTAAATAAATGTGCAAAAACGCATCATAAAGAAAAAAATGAGAAGCTGAGTACCACAAGTTGACTCGGAACTGGATAAAAAATAAGATATCAATGGATCAGATTAAAACAGCGGTTATACCCCGGCATAGATGAAAGTGAGTGTATAATGAATATTAAAATATAATAAAAACAGAAAAAATATTCCACAAGCGCAAAACCAACAACTGACAACTTAGCAATGCCGACTATACAATATAGCTTTGGGGTAACTGAATGGTAGTACTGAGCTAAAAATGGCTAGACTCAATGACGAGTTTAAGAATCTGTGTAATAGCACATCCAAAATTTACATGGCAAAGAAGGCAGAAAAATAAGTGAGAGACTGCATCTATATTAAGGCAATATCTAAATCAGTACCTCGAAAAAACGTCTTATGAAATATTCATCTTGAGAATCGGAGTACACATGGTGGTAATGGTGTGTTGCGTTTCTTTTTTTGTTTTGTTTTCTTTAGTTTTTGATACCTGTTTCTCTTTGGTGTTGATTTGATAAGGTGTCTGTCGCACTGGGATTTCTACATACATTCTCTGCTCATCTACAATTGTTCCGTGTAGATTTGATGCTAAAAAAGCGGTTTTCTTCTTAACCATTATTGTTGAGACAGTAATACTGCCTTTCAGACATACCTGTCAATATACTCATGAGCAACAGTATAATTCTAAAGAAATAGTATATTTACTTAATGTGGAATCAGGAGGACTAAAATGCTTAATATAAAAAGGTTAAATAAATGTTAGCATCATTTTCTGTGTGACTTTGACTTGCATTTCTGAAAGGAGGATAATTCTGTGGGAACTGGTGCCCTTATCAAGCCATGTCACATCTGGCCACCTGATTTTGTTCCCAAAAAGATATAACCCATTTTCAGATTCTTTTCCGCCATAGTATTCCACCCACATCTATTTAGGTATCTTCTGAAGGTCACTTTCTTATTCTTCTAACACTGAACATTATCACCTGCCATTGTGCAATATTAATATCAATATAGTTATTTGTATTAACAATGTTGGTAAAATAATCATGAAAGTTTTGCCTAAGTCATACTGTGGCAGTGGCATACCTATTATGACAATAATAAAAAATGATGGTCAATGTCCGTGGGCATCATACTGAACATTATAGTAATTAGTTTAGTAATAGCATTATGACAGTAATCGAAGATTCACCTGATATTCAGTTGGTTTATTCTAAACAGATAAAGCACCTTGATTTGTAACAACCTCCAACTACACTTGTCAAGAAATAATGCCTGGACAATAAAAGATTGCAGACTAATACATGAAAATATTGTGTTTGATAACTGCTTAATTATAACTCAATGAATCATCGTAACAAGTGTTGGAAATTCAATTATATAAATAACATCTACTGAAAGGAAAGAAATTCTTTTTATTAAGAATACTTTATTATAAAATACAATACATATTAACAAATCCATTTTGTGGTTGTGCTTGCAAAGTCCAAGCAATATTTTATCCTTGAAGGAGAGCGAGACTGGGCTGGATCTGAAAAAAGTAATAGCATTGGTCAAACTTCTTAATGTGTTTACACTATCGCACTGCCATAAAATCCCAAGTTAAAAATGATTCCTTTTTAATTTTCGTTTTTGTACTAGAAAACGTAACAAGTCCAGGTTCAACTAAGCAGAAACGTTCCTCTTCTACGGCAACATTGAGTACTCCTAAAAATATCCTTGTGGAGAAACATCCCAGTAATATAATCAATATGCATATACCAAGTACAGTATACATTCATTATTTATAAGTATCTAAATTTGGATGGATATCACCTGTATCAACCCAATTCCTTTGAGAAAGTTTAAATTCAAAATATGGATCCTTGCTTGGTGATAAGCTTTTTCTCCCTGAATACTGCTTGAAATGTAGAAGAAATTAGTGAAGAACATCTACGTTTCATTCTATTTTTAAGTATAAAATAGTTCATACATCTTTGAAAGAAATACAATTATAGTTTGAAAATACCATATATCCCTAAGATAGTAGATTTTAATATCTACAAATAAACTGAAAGGAAAGGCCATAAGACATTTATACCACTATTGGCATAATACTCCCTCTTATCTTAGAATTACATTTGCAATAAAACACTAGTTCTATTCCTCTTGCTATATATATATATCCCATTACACCCACACCTTTGTTCAAGTATATCGTAAAGTTACAGACAAAACCTTCTTAGTTCTTTGTGCCAAGTTCTTAATGCAGCTCATAGGTTAAAATTTAGCTTTTCCTTCCATAACTAAATCCAAATGTCTGAACATATTACTCCATATAAACAATAAATGTTAACTTGGATAGGAACCTTCATTTTATCTACCATCATAATTATGCCAACACAGAGGAGCTGCAAATGGCATGTTAGTGATGGTGCAAACTCCTTGGATAAATGCAAACCTTCCTATTCACTATAAATTGGCTTGCACAATCAATTTATAATGGGATCAAGAGCTTAGTCTTTTCTTCCACTATGAATCTGATAAGAATAACTGCTTACAGCATGAAACTTCAGGTGAAATTATGAATCAAGATTACCAATTAACCTGAACCACTTAAAAGACAAGACAATAATAATGCATGTAAAACATTGGGAAGTTTTGTAGGTTATTTACTGATATCCCAAATATTTTCATAAGCACCTTCCCCTCTCCCACTTCAGTATAATAAGGATGAAAGAATATGCTAATTGGTATTCACATTTTGTTCAACCCACTTCTAATGACATTTTATCACAACTTAAGTGTATCAGGCACAAGTATCCATGCCACCTGTTCCAAGTTATTTGCTCATTTGGTTCTGACATGCACAAAAATCAAGAGGTATAAAAATCATTAATTTACCATACTCTATACTTCCATAAATGAATTTTGAGGAAATGAGGCTATAAGTTATAGTCTAATTTTGAAGTCAGGGTCAAAAAAATGCACAACTGTTTAAAGCAAAAAAAACTTATATCAGGTTCAATTGTGCATGGTATGTTTATTTGCAACCTGGCATCTGATCCTGGTTCCCCTTGACACAAACCATCATCCAGTTAGAATGGATTTATAGCTACTATTAACAAGTCTTGTAATGTAACGGGAAAATCCATTTTTCCAAGGAATCGTTCTGACCATGCTAAGATGTATAAAGTATTTCTTTGCTTGCAGTTGTTGCATTATCATGAAAACATTAACTAGAGAGAAATATTAAATATAGATGAATACACACCTGATTTACACTCTGATGGCACAAACTATTCTGCTACACATCTGAAAGGAATATGGATATAAGTAAAATACAATTCGAGTATTTAGCCTCATAAAAAACAAATTCAATTCCTGTCTGAAAACAGACTCCAAAACAACTATGAGTTTATTGGATTGCAGGTTTCAACTTTTTTCTACCATCGACTGTTACGCCAAGCCAAGCAAGTTGAGAAAGACGTCTTTGAATGATGGTACTAACATTTTTTGCAATATTCAATTAAAGTTCAAATTCAAATATGAAACAGTACCATAGATGAAACAAGAGGCGTGTATATGGCAGCCTGACCAAGAAAAAAATATAAATGTAGTCTCGATATTTTACTTTCTAATAAGTAGACTGGAGTGAAGCATGGAGACAAAACTTGGATAAATCTTTATTAAGTTTTTATTATAAATCACTGATTTTTTAAACTAATTAAACCACTCCAAATATACCTACAAAACAAAATACATCATAATATAGACAAAAATAGTGACTCATAATGTATCGTAATGAAACCAGTTCACTCATGTCAAGGCGCTCTTTTGATCTATTATTGAATGTTACACCAAACAGAGATGAGAAAGCAAAGAATAAAACTGGGTTCAAAATTTCATACTATTCAGTATATATTTCCATCCAATAACAATCTTATGAATCAAAGATTGAAAAAAAAAAAAAAAATCTATATACCTTTTTCATGAAGCCATCCAGTTGTCCTTAAAGGTATCTTCGGCTTCGCATTAGTTCTTCGGCAAAAACATTGCTGGAAAAAGAGCATTTATTTAGGAAGAAAGCATTTCTCTTTGTTATTACAAGAAAAAATATTTACATTCAACTGTCCGAAAATCTTAGTTTGAATAAACCAGTCAAGCTTATTCAGGTGGATATTTTCCATTTTTCTACCATCTTTTCATTAAGCCAAGCCAAGCAAGTTGAGAAAGGCATGTTGAAATAATGGTAAAGAACAAAATTACCAGAAAAAATAAAATAAATAAATAAAAAATAAGGAAAGAGAAAGATTACTACACAACCTATATACTGAAAACTTTTGAATATGTAATATATCTAACAATCAAAAAATCACAGTTTAAGAAATTTAAGAACCTATGTAAAGCAGGTCATTAATATACAACTATAAAACCAAATTTATTCATTAATCAAATGAAATTAAACTGTAAGGGCGATCTTCCCTTTACCTAAATAGTTTGTTACCCTAAACCAACACACAATGAAAGGTATCATTAATTCAAAGGTTCAAGAAAATTTGACCAGGTAATATTACTTCTAATACATTAAAAAATACTAGGAAAATAAACTTACCATTTTCCTTCAATCTAATAACGGGCACTGGTTACAATGAATATCCAATCTTCGCATTTCTTCAGCCAACCCATTTCTGAAACAAAAAAAAAAGGAATAATTATTTTCCCCCCCTTTCATAACCAGAATACACCAAAACCAAAATTTCTTTCAACTGTCCGAAAATCTTAGTTTGAATAAACCAGTCAAGCTTATTCAGGTGGATATTTTCCATTTTTCTACCATCTTTTCATTAAGCCAAGCCAAGCAAGTTGAGAAAGGCATGTTGAAATAATGGTAAAAGAACAAAATTACCAGAAAAAAATAAAATAAATAAATAAAAAATAAGCAGAAAAGAGAATTACTCTACACAACCTATATACTGAAAACTTTTGAATATGTAATATATTTAACAAATCAAACAAATCACAGTTTAAGAAATTTAAGAACCTATGTAAAGCAGGTCATTAATATACAACTGTAAAACCAAATTTATTCATTAATCGAATGAAATTAAACTATAAGGGCGATCTTCCCTTTACCTACAATAGTTTGTTACCCTAAACCAACACACGATGAAAGGTATCATTAATTCAAAGGTTCAAGAAATATTTGACCAAGTAATATTACTTCTAATACATTAAAAAATACTTGGAAAATAAACTTACCATTTTCCTTCAATCTAATAATGGGCACTGGTTACAATGAATATCCAATCTTCACGTTTCTTCAGCCAACCCATTTCTGAAAAAAAAAAAAGGGAATAATTATTTCCCCCCCTTTTATAACCAGAATACACCAAAACCAAAATTTCTTTCAACTGTCCGAAAATCTTAGTTTGAATAAACTAGTCAAGCTTATTCAGGTGGATATTTTCCATCTTTCTACCATTTATCAGTATGCCAAACCAAGCAAGTTGAGAAAGGCGTCTTGAAATAATGGTACAAGAGCAATACCACAAAAAAAATCCTTGGGGCACTGCATAGTACACTATTTGTTCTGCTAACAGTTTTCTACTTCTTTCATTTCGCTTCTACTCCTGACTAGAACAGAGACAAGTATGAGACGTGATGAAACGAAGTAAAAATCAATAAGGCATTTTGGATAAGATTGGAAATCAAGCTAACCAATTGGGTTCATAATGAGGAAGACAAATACACAATAAACAAAGGGAAGTCAGTTCTACAAAACAAATGGGAACCTAAAGCCATTGCTCTAATTCTTTCCCTACTGCAGAGATCTAGAATAAAGATACACAAAAATGGTATTAGGCATTAATATATTTTGTAAAATTAGTTAAATATTTTTGCTTTTACCATTCAAAACAAATTGCATCTAATCATCGCATGGTAAATTGGGTGTAAATGCCTGCTGGCCAAGTATCCATGCCAAGTACAGTCAGTCTACTACAACTCTTGTGCACTAAACAGTTGTTTGCCTGTTTGGATCCAACTTATCATTTTACTCTAATACCAAGATTCAGCACAAATGACTAATAGGACAAAACCATATTAATGTTAAGTACTTAAACAATTTACCAACTTACTTTTTAAATGTAATCTTTCAATAAGGTTGACAGTTCCCACAGGTGTCTTGAGCTTCCTGCTTCTTCAGCCAAACCATTTCTGGAAAAAGGAGAACTTGAATCAGACTTTTCTATTTTTCTCTTTGAAACCAAACTTCACTATTACATCTTCATTAAACTGTCCAAAAATCTTAGTATGAATAAGCCAGTTCAGCTCATTCAGGTGGATATTTTTCATTTTCTACCATCCATCATAAAGCTTAGCCAAGCAAGTTGAGAAAAGCATTCTTGAAACGGTGGTACAAAAACTATACTGCCAGAAATAATTCTATTCTAGGAGCAATAAGCAAGCCATTTGATCTGCTAATAGTGCTTCATAATTTTTCCTTTTGATTCATTTTGAATGCAACTACAAACATGCTAAATGTGAAACTGAAAACAAAATGCATGAAATTTTGGGCCTGTTTTTCCATCAAAAAGGCATGGAAGTAGTAAGCACTGGGGAATATTACAGGTTATTCTCAGATAATAGCAGAAAGGTTCTTTCATACTCTCCACTCTTTCCATAACAGATTTAAAATAATGATGCGCAAGATCTCGTGCTTTTTAATGGTATCAAAATCTTTGACAAATTTCTAAATCAAAAGACAATACCAAGTTTAAAAAATAAACAAAATTAAGAGTTTCCTTTAGTTGGAAATCTTTTTTTATCTACTATTGATTGTTATGCTAAACCAACAATCCAAGAAAGACCACAATAAAATAGGGTTGGGAATTCCTCTACCTATTCAACATTACATTAAATCAAATAATACTAAATTATTTAGGGAAATAACTTACCTTTTAATATAACCTGTTCATAGAGGTGACCATCTACTGTAGATATCTGAACTTCAAAATGCTTTCTTTGGCCAAACAACTCTAGAAAAAGGAGAATTTAATCAGAATAAACCTTTATCACATTTCATAAAATACAAAAATACCATTTGTTTCAACTGTCTGAAAATCTTAGTGTGAATAAACTAGTCAAGTTTATTCAAGTGGATATTTTCCATTTTTCTACCATCTATATTTATGCCAAGCCAAGTAAGTTGAGAAAGGCATCTAAAAATAAAAATGGTACAAAATAAATACTACCAGTAAAAAATTCAATTTAAAATACATTGTCAACTATCTGATAACAGTGCTTAATAATCTTAGTGTTTTCCTTTCACACAATCTGACTACAAACACACTAAATAATGTGACAATCAAAAGGGAAACATCAAAGTGGACTGGCTTTAATACATAGCCATGAAAACAGCTAGCTTGATTCACAAACAAAAATAAAGTAAAAATGTAAGTAAACAAGGAACTTTTACAGATTATTCTTTCCCCAATAAAGATCTGAATGAATTTGAAGGTGGTATTAGGTCTAAATATTTCATAACAGGAATAAATCCTTCCTACCTACTTCCAACTTATTTCATATCCATGTTGCTTTCATCATAAGGACTGGTATTTAGAAAAAATATAAAAGCAAGCATACTTTTGCCCTTCCATTGTATTTCACAACCATTCAACAAAGACAAGTTAATAGATAATATCTAAGAAGAAAACTGACTAAAGAACTGTACCTGAAATTCCACTCTGATGGCATAAATCTTTACTGCCATACTTCATACCTGAAAGAGGAATAAAGAAAAAATATAATTAAACAGTTCAACAAAACACACCTTAAGTCACATAAAAGCACTTTTAAATATCTGAAAACAGGTTCCAAATAAACAAAAAAGTACATCTGGATTGCAGTTTCAGCTTTTTCTACCATCGAATGTTACGCCGAGCCAAGCAAGTTGAGAAGGACGTCTTTGAATGATGGTAAAAATGGGATGTTGCAATATTATTCAAATTCAAGTATAAAATAAAAAGAGACCAAGATGAGAGGGTAAAACTATGGAGGTACGTAGCAGTCTGGCCAAGCTAGACGACTGATGTTAATTTGCTAGTCATTCAAGAAGTCCTAAGGAAAATTTATTGTCATTTGCTTTCTTATGCACTTCCTAACAAGAGATTCAGAATAAGAGTATGAACAATTACACATCAATAACATCAAGCATTGTACTATTTTGTAAGATATCACCTATGTAAGAGTTTACAAATGAACAATTGGCAAATGAAAAAGACTGAACTAGTAAACTGCACTGAACCTGTTCTCTTCTTACCTTATCTTCATATCATTACACACAAGCCTCAAATCTATATCTAAAACATTTAGAGAAATAACTTACCTTTTATAAAAGAAACCAGTTAGCTTAGGCAACTGAGCTTGAACATTTTTTTTGCAACACCATTTCTGAAAAAAGTGGATTCCAATCAGAAACAGAACCATCTTATCATAATGATCAATATGTTTTCTTTCAACTGTCCGAAAATCTTAGTTTGAATAAACTAGTCAAGCTTATTCAGGTGGATATTTTCCATCTTTCTACCATCCATCATTATGCCAGGCCAAACAGGTTGAGAAAGGCATCAAGAAATAGAAATGGCACAAAAGTAAATATTACCCCTAGGAAAAGTGGTAGTTTTCATAATTTTATAACTCAATAGAAATTATGGTAATGAGGGCACTGATAAGTATTGAATATTACACATGCAAAATCTCTCTCTCCACCTTCCGCGTCTTCAAATTCTACATAGCTTGGTTGAGAACCTCCATATGTCAAATCATCTACTCTACCCAACCATTAATCTAAGCATCAAATATTCATATAATCTATTGCATAAAACAGTTTCAGTACACCCTTTCATAAAACAATCCAGTGGGGTTTGATGTGTGGAGAGAATTGGCACAAAAAAAAAAAAAGGAATGTTTTACCTCTACTGCTTTAATGTTATATACAAATGCTTTACGAAAACAATCATTGTTTTTCTGGACACACTGCAGGATACAAGAACTCATTTCTACAAATGTAAAAGTTACTTTTCCTTCAGCCTCAGAACATACTGTGTACCTAATTTATTCATAAATATTTATAAAACAAAATCTTGACCAATTGAGAGTTAACTAAACAGTACTAAATAATTACCTTGGTAATGAAAACTTGATTCAATGAGGATGTAAATCAATCCTGGTCTTTCATCCAAAGCTTTCTTCTAATGCGACCACCATCTCTGAAAACACCCTGTAATATAAAGACATTTCTGAATTTCAGATCTTGGGCTATAACAGACTACAAAATTTCACTATGATATATCAATTACTCAACAGGTAAATACAAACCTTGCTGGCTTCCAAGAGAGGCAGGGGATTGGTACATTTCATCATTCTTGAAAGCCATTTGCCCCCATCTCCAAAACAAGTCCCTGAAAAAATACTAGAGTTCACTATTTTCACCTAAATATTTTAGTAATTTGATCTTTCAGTACGTCACATTATGTCATTCCATCATTAACAAAAAATATTGATACTTACATGTTTTCCTGTTGCAATAACCTGACATTCTGGCTTGCATCTGATATTGAAGATGAATGTTTAAATGTACACTTCAACTACAAATATTTAAAACCTTCTATTGATAACATTTGAGCCTTTGACTGCACATTTCAGGTAGGATAGAAAGGCTTGCACAATACATATTCAACTTTGTATTTTGATAATGCATCAAAAACTCGCCTAATAGCTTTCAAATTGAAAAACTAAAGAAAACAATTCTTGCCCCTTTTCTAGTTTACATAGTCATTTACCCATCATAACCGAACAGAAATTAGACTAAAAACTATCAATATAATTTTCAACTAGTTCCACAATCTTTTATTACAGAAATATGTCTTACAGAAATGTTTCTACTCATAAAATGGGAGGAAAAAAAATTACAAATTAAACTATAATATTTATTACAGCTGACCAATTACAGACGCCTACCACGGCGACCACCCTTCCTGCGTGTGCTGTCAGAGGGAACTGGGGTAACATCCTGAAAAAATTAGTCAATATCAAAAACAGAAACGTAACTAAAGAACAATTTAACAAAAATTGTTTCACTACTCTCTTCAAATATAAATTTCACAGCACTTTTTGCAATGACGGATTCTTTTGATTAGAAGTTATGAACCAAATATACTTTCTATAGCCCCATGAAATAATACTTAGGGTTCTTAATTTGTATGGACTTAGTGATGGTTTAGATTGTTTCTCTTCACAACTGCAGTAAGCTCAGCAATTTTGGTTATATAAATGACGGCAACAAGTTCCAAATCCATGTTAATTTGTTATATAAATTTTAAAAATGGTGTCCCATCATAGTCAGCTCAGCAGATTTACTGTCTTATCTGATTGAGAGTGGCTGTTCTCGGACTTTACCCATTTGCTTTGAGGCTTCTTTTCTGACAGGAAAATCCTATAAATGTCAAATCTGATAAAGGATTCTAGTTCTATTTTCCTCTGAAACTAATGGAACATCAAATTCTTTATGTTGGACAACAGAGTTGACATCACTAAATATCTTGAATCTTCAAAACTATGTACACCACTACTTACTTCAATGCGCCCAATCTTCATCCCAGAACGGGCAAGGGCACGGAGGGCTGACTGGCCACCTGGGCCTGGAGTCTTGGTCTTGTTGCCTCCAGTGGCTCGGATCTTTACATGCAGAGCATTGATTCCCAGTGACTTGCACTTCTCAGAAACGTCCTGGAAGAAATCCACCATTTGCTTTTGTTTGCTTTCACTTTTTACATAACCTCATTAACATTCAAGATGAAAAAGTGTCCAAGAAGGCCAATCTATAAGAGATGTGCTGTATAAATAAACCCTGACAATCCAGATGACAGTGCACAGACCTCTTGGAGTGTGGTTCGATTCATTTGGCACTTAGAAGGGGGCTTTAGTATTACGCCCATTAATAGACAAAGGTGGGATGTAATGTGTGTAGGCAGTGACTGGAAGAGCATCAGCTCCAGGGAAGACACCATTTCCATGTTGTGCACTGCATTCCTGGCTACTGTGACAGGCAGCACAGGTTGTATTACATAAAATTGATTAAAAAAAAAAAAAAAAAAAAAAAAAAAAAATTGGATATGACAAATAACCAAATGTTCCATACTTTTTCTTTCTTGCACAGAGTTATTCACTACATAGAGATGATGGGCTGTATGTGCAAAGAAAATAAGTTATTGCCATCTGAATAAAGTAAATCAAAAGACAAATATGGACATTGGAAAGTGGCAAACAGACTATATAAAAAAATAAAAAAAATAAAAAAATTACAGAAAACTTTGCAAAGGGGAGGCACTGAGTCTTGTCGCTGCCTATGGGTCTTAGTACACTGCATGCCCAGGATGTTAACAACTTACATAACCCACTGCCCATATTCTCAGCACCATAATTTTTCATGACAACCAGATTCAACAGTTTAAGGAGTTACAGGGAACAAATTAGGTATGTAAAAACCATAAAAGACTTGGGAATGATGTGACTAGAGGATTAAGGAATAATTCACACATGTTAAGAGGATATAATTTTTGAATCGAGACTGATAAAGCAACTGACAAACTCCTTGATGGAGCTTAGCAAGGAGAAGGGGTGGTCAATGAAAGGTAAAACTTCTCAGACGCAAAAACTTTTATAGCTGAATATGTAACTTTCATGTATCTTTTAGGCAGAATGTTCCACTGCATGGGTTAATTATGTCAATTTTCTGGTCAGAGAAACTAATTCAGAAAAAGCAGGTCTGTACCGAATTTACATTATCAGTACAATTCTCAAATGAATACCTATGTGGTAAAGAATTCTTACTTGGGCAGCCAACATAGCAGCGTAGGGGGAGGACTCGTCACGATCAGCCTTCACCTTCTGACCACCAGTGATACGGACGATGGTTTCACGGCCAGACAGATCAGTCACGTGCACGAAGGTGTCATTGTAGCTGGCATAGATGTGGCAGACTGCAAACACATTCTCTCCCTCCCTGACTTGAGGTCCCAGGGAAACGTGGACCTCCTCCTTTTGAACTTTTCCTTTACGGGAGCCATTGCTTACCTGCAAAATTCACAATCTATTAGAATAAAATTTGAGTACAAACTACTTTTCATATTTCCACATAAAAAATTGCATTTACACTTTTCATTCATACTAAGAACATTTTCTATATGCAAGTATAATGCTATTGCTAAATCTCAAATACTGTCAGTCATTAATTGGCAACTGTTATAAGGGATCTATTTCCCTCTTAACCCATTTACGACGGGTGTCCCTTATATGAGACACCAGAAATTCAAACATTGCTGGGCGTGAGTGTGATGTTGGATCGAAGTTCGCGCTCCGAATACGCTGCGGGCCGCGGGCAGATTCCAGGGCGGCCACTCGCACCGATTTTGAAGCCGCCAGGAAAATAATCTTTTTGGCCTCAAAATATACCAGTGTTCGTGGGTTAAAGCAACGGATAGTACATTCCACACTTGTTCATCTATGGCAAGTCATTACCTTCACCCCAACCTTCATGAAATTATCATGATGGAAAGTTCCCCTCAATCCAAATTTTTCCATGATGGCGTGATCAGTTAATCCACCCAAGTAAATAAATAGATAAATATATCTAAAAAAAAGTCACACAATGAGTGGTCATTAAAAGAAGCTTAATATCTTCTTTGATCAAGATCTTTTCTAAAGTAGACAGTAATTTAAGTAAATACATTGAAATGTTCTAGTAACAATTGAAGGTGTAATATTTTTGTTACAGTTAACTTTTCTTTCATTGAAAACTCACATGTAATTTGTTTAACAAGTCACGTCTTAACCCAACAGTACATCAAGTGTCCATGCATCCAGATTATTTAATGTAATTGTTTAAAAACTGACTGCACCCCTGCTACACTGTCAATGACGCTAACAACCATGGAGGCACTCCTGGGAATCCACAAACATTGCACTAAGTTCTGGCAAATTGAATATGATATTCTTTTAAAGGACAGGAAGTTGCAGTAGTCTGAACAAGAAATAATCTGCCGACATGACCAAAACAAAAAATGAAGGTAAAATATCACAGAAAACATTGCTCTCAGCCAAACTCCACTCGGTGCCCCAAGTTTCAACTATCTTGCCCCGCATACAAGGTGAAGATAATGTTTCCTGTGGGGTATTGAGGCAGAGCCTCCCCCCATCAATCCTCTAGAGGGTGCATTACCCTAATTAGCATAAAATGAAGAAATAGGTTGCAATAGGGTCGAGGTCCAGGGGCGGAGTACCTGATAGGAAAATATGGTGACTTTTTGGATTACCAAGAGTGGCTGGACTAAAAAGAACAGTCTTAAAGGGGCGAGGTCACCGTGTAAACAGTTTTCAATACTTGCATTTAATAATTTGCAATGGAAAGCAACAGATTAATACATGGAGTAATTATTGGATGCCTGTGTGAACCTAAAAAATGACCAAATTTTCAAGTTTCGAACTTTCTACCAACCACACATCAAGGGATGATTCTCAGTACTACTTCTGGGTTGTAGCATCGCTCACATGGCACATCAATCAGGCCTATTCTAGTCCTATCCTGCCAGTCTATTGTTTGTGAGATCTTGAATTCCAGGTAGGGTGGGTATTGGGGTGCAGTAGTTCTCAAACAAAGGGTTTGTACTTCAATTGGGTCATCCATCAGGTGTGCCTCACTTGCTGGTCAAAATAAGTGTGGGATAGAACATAGTTTAAGCTGCAGCAGTACTATATTTAACGCTAAATGCTGAAAATAAATGCGCACTTGCCTTTCAAATCCTATGCCCATCAGCTTCTTTACCTTGCAAGGGGGGGGGGGGGGGAATGACCCATGAACTCCTTACTGTGATGCCCTAAGTAGTACTAGTGTTACTCTCGCAGGACAAAACCATACTTGGTTATTTAGGAGAGTATACTGTTACACATTCTTGCTCTTACAGTATCTTCTTATTGTTATTATACATGTTACATGTTAAGATATTTATAGCCTTATTTAGATTCGTGCGCATCGAGCATTTCACACCCTTCCACCTGCCGCCAGCCCGCTTATTTTGAGATGTAACGCCAGTAAAAATGTTGAGTTTCCATTATTGTGTTCATTCTCGGCTATTCTTAAAACTTTACAGTGACAAAGATAAAATAGGCTTCAGTAACGATCCCAGTTTAATATCTGGGTCCTCCAAGAGCTCCAAATGCCAAAAAATAGAAGAGAATGTGTCCCAGGGGATGTTGGGGGCCAGACCTACCCATCAACCCTCCCCTACGGCACACCTAGTCACAGCAACTTAAGTTGCTATATTAGGCTTGTTTATTGGTCAATACATTTTATAGATGGCAGTTACATCTGCAGAGTTTCATAGGCCGATTTTAAGCTTTTTTTGTGTTAGTTTCATGTATTTTTGATAGTTATTCTACAAATTTAAGCCTGTTTTGCCATGCAATTTCCCTGATATCCTTCATGCCCTTCCCTGCTAACGGAATTATCAAATCAAGATCGTCAATAGAGAGATGGTACTCGATCTCCTGAACGATTCATTCGCACAAGGAACTGAGGAAATCAATGAAATCATTGGATTTCCTGCAGATAAACCTCAATTTTCTTCAACTTACTCTCTGTAACGAAAACCCATTAAATTGTTGATTCCATTGGTCGTTCGAATCACAATATGATGGGAAAGAAAGGTCTAACCTTAAGCATATTCCCAGATTGCAGGAAGAAACCCAAACACCAGAAGCGATGGGTTCAAGCCATGAGAAACGTAAATTATCTGATGAAAGCATCTGAGCACTTGGTGGGAAAATTACTTCAGCTCTGAACATTTTACTGAAGATAAAGAGTTTAACTGACATACATGTTTACTATAAACACCTTTTCTATTTCTAATGTGAAAATTTTCCACCAGGCACCCAAGCGCTCCCATCAGCATTTACACATTTCGTGTCCTGAACCCATCGCTTCCATTTAACGGGTTTCTTCTCATATGGGAATATATCGAGGGTCAGACCTTACTTTCCCATCATTGTAGTTCATACAACCATCACCTACTACTATAGCATTTTCACAAAAAAAAAAAAACAGTCTTGGATAAACACAGTGGATCCCTAAGTACGCACAGTTTTTGAATGAACGAAGGTTTGTTTTCACCAAGTGATCGTCGCTACGCTGTACTGAATTGGTATGTTACAACGCGTCAAATAGGAGTTACCCAAAATTTACTTAGCTTCACCGTACTACAAAACGATTTCTGTCCTTGTTTACTTTTTTTTGTTTACACTTGACCGCCATGGCACTATTCCTCTAAGACACGACAGATAGCGATTCTTCTTTACCGAACTCGTAACAAAAGCAGCCAACACGACAGCAAAATCCCCCTGAAAGACGATTCTGATCTGCTAGCCTCCGAGGGGCATCGCGGCCAGACTCACCCGAGGCCACAATAATATCAACACGTGTTTTCAGGACAAGAAACTACTTCCGTCTGCACAACTTCACAAGACTACAAAGTCCATCTCACCGAGAACCGATAATTACTTTCTCGTACTTCAACGTTACTGATGTAGGATCTGAACACCACACTAGCCCGAACAGGCGTTTAAATCGGGCAGAGCCACGTCTAAACGCTGAAAGAATATCACAAAAGTCATACTGTAGAGTAAGGGGATGGTTGCTTTCAGGTTCCTGCCGACACATTCCCATGATGGAAACACCCTCTTTCTTTTTACCAATATTTGACCATCACCTCTTTTTGTCTTCGCCTCACCTTATTGCAATTCAAACAGTGATCAAGCTTGTATCGAACGCACAGTGTAAGGCCCTCGTCCAACCCTCGATGGCCCAGATAATCGAGGATAAACAAAACAGATACTCACACTTGGAGTCACACTGAGAGAAGAGACTCGTAGAAGGAACGAAGGAACTGTTTGGGCAGACCTTAACTCCACCGCCGATCACGACACTCTCCTGAAAATTTTGTTTTTATTTTTTAAGCTTCTTCTTTTGAAATTTGGTGAATTAAAACTTAATCTTTTAAAATTTCTAAAACTTAAATGAATATGTTTGGTTTTATATATGCTATATGAGTAAAGTTTATTACAAATTAAACACGAGTTTTCTGTAGCACAACTTGGTCGCGATTGAAGTTCAGGGATAAACCGTCTTAAATTCAAATTTCAGACTATTAAAAATCAATTCAAATGACAAAATAAAATTCCTTATTCTAATAACTCGGAGATGGTTAAAAGAGAGTGCAGATATCATGCTTTGAACACCTAATAATATAGCAAAACAGAGTATCGACAGAGGCCAAAAAAGTGTTGGAACAGAGGATTGTTTGTTATCGAGAAAGAAAGGACAAAACAAAAGCCTTCGGTGAATTCTCCTTCTTGTCTATTTCTCGTTCAAACTCGGCCTCCCGGGCCAAGTGGTACCCCGAAGTTGGTTATTCTAAGCATAGTTATATTACTGCAAGACTCGTGGAAGAATTTGGTAGGCGTAAAAAGCCTAAAACTGGCCCTAGAGGATGTCTTTTGTCTCTCCGGATCAGCTGTGTGATGAGCGAGGACTCTGACCCTGGGAAAGAGAGTCGCCTTTAACGCTATTTCCTGGCTCCTCTGGTGACTCAGTGACTCAGTGACTTCCCATTGGCACACGTGGACCTTGTGAATCGCGAGCTCAGATTCGTTTCAGTGCACTGTAGGAGAGAATTTTGCTCGAGCTCGAGGTGGCATTTCTGGAGAGAGAGAGAGAGAAAGACCATCGAGTGTTATGTTTGTTTACTTAGCTTTCTCGAACTCCCTGTTTTCATTGATGTTTATAAACTGTAAATGAGTCTAAAAGAACTTGTGTGATTGCACTTCTAAGACCTTTGTCAAAACAGGGAAAGGTCAAGTTAAATGCATGGAAGGGGTTCAAATTCGTGCTTGAGGTGAATCCCCAGGTAATGTTATTCATCAGGAATAATGGGAATGAGTTGGGCGAGTAATGATCATGGTAATGGGTTTCAGAGCACTGTGATGCTTGTGAGGTTGGGGCAGAGATAGGTTTTCTCTGAAAGGTTTGACTTGGATAAGTTCCTCCTAAAACAATGATTTACAATGTGTTAATACGTTCTACTTCTAAGGTTTATCACATTTCAAGTTATATATAGATGTTATTCAGATCATGGAATATATTTTTCAAGAGTTTGAAAATGAATCCTAGCTAAAATAGATCTCGAAATGGTGATTGCTTTGACAGTAAGACAAATATAGCTCTTAGTAATTTATTTTAGTACTTGGTGAAATCCAAAAGCTACATATATTGATACATATAGAAAC